GATCGCAGCTGTTCGTTTCAAGTTCAGTTTACATTATTTCCGCTCCGCTCTGGTCTGACAGACGTGCAGGAAGCAGATCGTGCTATAAATTCAGTGATAAATGTGGAAGTCACAGCAAAAAATAATTAATTCTGTCAAAGACAAACTCCAAACACAGCTGAAAACATTGATATAAAGGCTTTTGGTATCTATGGTTGAAACTGTCTCACTGTCGGCTTTCTGAAACTTCTGATTTCAAAATAAAATCCACGTGTATCATGTGTGTGCACATATGCTTCATGCTACATGTTTCCATCTGCTTCCCAAACAGAATGATACATTCTGACAGCATTTGTGTAGAAATATATCTGTATACTTATTAATATAGCTGCAATTTTGACATTATTTCGACAAATTATTCTGCCCAATAGTGTCTTATTTTGAAAATACGGATGTTGTGCTCGTTTCTTTTCCTGTTGGTGTGACGTAATCTTTAAAAATTGACTCCGGCACTGCTCCGTCGTCTGGCAAAAATAGGATCTGTTCTAATTTTGATGGATCGCCATCCRCTTACCGCCGCCGTGCGCAGCCAGTGTAAACACTCTCATTGATTATAATGGGTGTGTATTTGCTGCGGAGGTCGGACCGGTGCGTAGCGGAGACGGAACGCAAGTAATGTAAATTAGGGGTAATCTGCTCATCTTTTAAACACTCAGTATTTTTCACACAGTGAACAGTTAAAATGAGCCTTGGTGGTGTTTGTGTCTCCAGACAGGACTACGGAGTCGCGCTCTCGCTCCATTGCTGAGCTCTCCTCGTTAGTCAGGATGTGTTCCACCAAACAGCGTGCTGCCTCCTCAATGTTTGTGTTCTCCTGAGGGTGAAAATAGGGAAAAGCCTCGTAAACAAATGTCTTTCACATCAAATGTTGCTGATCTACACTGAATTAACTGAAATAGCTCCCTCTGAAGATCTTCTGTAGTTTCTCCTGTGCTTGTGTCAAGCTTCACAGGATAAAAATGCTGTGGTTCTGAGTGAAAGTTTTGCTGAATTCCAACAAAATTTTTATGTTATTTAGAGGTTAAAAAAATAAATCAGATTATCAAGCATCTATGACTCATGATACAATAGAGATCCTTAAGTTTTGCATTGTTCTCAGAGCAAAATGAAATTATTTTTTTACTAGTTTTTACTTTTTTAGCATTTTAAATTGAGAATAAAGATTTGTCATTTCAACWAATAATCTAAACAAAAAAACTAAACTGAACCGTACATGTAAAACTGAAAGCAGGGATTTATTCTTTTAATTCTAGATTTTCTACATTTTAAATGGGTACAAGCTTCCACTCTTTAATCCAGAGTGCCCCCTCTGTTGAAGCTTTGTTTTTGTAAACAAATTGTTTTAAATGTGTGCTTAAAGTGGATTCGATTTGATTCATTTTTATTTCAACAGTAGAAATCATTGAAAATCTTTGAAATATGATGAAATATTTAAGTTTTTGTCCCAAGCCTTTTTCTCCTTCAATGCATATCCTTTTTGTTCCATTTTATTGTTTTTTTTCTACAAAAGCTTTCATGCCGCATGTACTGTATGCAAGGAAATAGCTTCTATAATAAAGATTTCACAGAAAAGGTTTGCAGTGCTCTGATGCAACATCGGTCAGAAACCTGCAGTACTGACTTCCAAAGTGGTGCTACCTTTGCAGACGTCTCAAACCAGCCCACAAAACCATTCTCCCTGCAGAATGAGTCCAGTTTGGGCAGCTGAGAAGCTGTCTGGTCTGACTTGTTGGCCAGGAGTACTGCCGGAATGGGTCTGCCATAGTTCAAAGTCACCTCAGGAAAGAAAAAAAGACAGGTTACATGACAACTAATGGCAGGGACATAGAAACCAAAAGCCAGAACAGAATACCAGATTTTTTTTATAATGTCAGAACATAAAAACCTTTAAAAAATCAAAGTCGGGTGGGTTTTTTTTTTTTTTTTTGGTGTGTAGTTCTTAGTTAGAGAGGTGTTTTGAACATGTGAGCGTATTGGTAAAGGGATAATAGATATGCAGTTACCAGGAAAAAAAACAAAGGAGATATGGATGCAATTAGAGAGGACATGGAGGTGGAGTGAAGACAGAGTATGCAGAGGACAGAGGCTGCATCTGGCCTGCGGGTGACTTCTGTCTGGCACCTCTCCACCCGCTCAAAACGAAAGCACTCAAATCACTCAGAGGACCTCTGAGATTAATTTTGGAAAAACGCAAAATGTATAAAAATATTTCAGCAGCACAGATTTTTTTTTTGTTATTTGAATACTATTCTTTTAAACTTGGACACACACACATATACACATTTAAGCATGAAGTGGTCTATTCGGTTCCCATAAATTCAAGGCAAATCTATGCATTTAGTCTCTACCATGATGGATTTTAATGTAAGTCAACATGTTGCACAAAGCAAAATATGAGAAGTTTATTGAGTTGCGAGTACGTACACAACAGTGATTCTTTACCAGGCCCACAACCACACAGGAGTCTGTGCTCAAGGCCTTTTATGTTGTTGCACTTCAGCTCGCTAAAGGAAGTATTTTTTGTTTGCTTCAAACATTTTGTATTCATATTTAATTAATAAACAAGAGTACAACTGTTATACRTGCACTTGAGCATGAAATAGGTTTAGCTACTGTACTATGTAGAAAATGGCATTTTTGTGGGTAAGTGTGCAGTGCTGTGTGGCCCTCTGGTGGTGTCCAGAAAAAATTGTAGCCCTTCGCTTCATTTCTGTTATCAATCCCTGACTGAAGTTGCTGAAAGCCAGCTTTGCCAACTAACAGCGAAGAAGGAAAGAAAAAGCCTCAGTCTGTGACACCTTGGAGTCCAGGTCGTCCTTCCACTTCAGCACAGCATCAAATGTGGAGGCCCTCGTGACATCAAACACCACCAGCGCTCCAACTGCCTCCCTGTAGTAGACACGAGTCATGTTTCCATACCGCTCCTGTCCTGGTTCAACAAGAACAGCCGTCAGACACAGAGAAACACAAGAATCGGGTTTTATTACAGAACAAAACGCCTGTCAGAGTGTGTAAGCTGCAGCTGCTGTCATGTGAGGGATATTACTGAGTCTCAGCCAGGCACAAAAATCTACAACATTCCACATTCAGGCATCAAATGCAGGGGAGGACTGAGGCATGCAGGGGACAGACACTGTTTTTCTGTCAGTGGTTAAAATTAGACTTTCATGTTCTAAACCTGCAGTCAATTTTAAAWGAAATAGTGTTTATTTTTAGAGTTTGTAGTAAAAAAAAATCCAATAATTCAGGGTTTGTCTTAATGAAAAACATCCCAATGAGAGGTTATATTTTGTGTTGAAGTGTGACAGACCTGCTATGTCCCACAGCTGCAGCCGGACCACAGTGTCCCTGTCCCACTGAAGCACCTTCAGGGCGAAGTCCACCCCGATGGTGGTTCTGTAGTGCTGGGAGAAGACCTGCTGAACGTACCGCTGGATAATGGAGGTTTTCCCGACTCCCAAGTCTCCGACAACCAGGATTTTAAACAAAAGCTCCTGCTGCGTGGCTCCAACAAGGAATGAAAAACGAAATATAGGACGAAAAAAGTGGGAGAAACTTCAGAAGAATGATAAGTTTGACACTTAAACTACAAAAGAAAGGGTTACGCACGTTTTTTGCAAATAATTAGTATTTTTCTTCAATAATAATACATATAGGACGTCATGTATCTCCTAAATAAAGGATAAAACGCGGTAATAATAGGAGAAACTCACCTCCATGACTATTTAAATCAAGTTTTAACACCGTTTCCTCTTCAGATCGTTGATCAGAAGGTGGTGCGTTCAAGGGCTGCTCGTAAATATAAGCTTCATTCTCAGCCTCGTTTTGGAGCGTTATCCGCTTTACAAACAAAATTAAATGACACTCATAAGGAAACAAAACACATAAATTAAGCTAATCTTAATAAAACAGATTTGTTATATGTTGTATTTTCTGTCTTCATTCATATTAATTTTTCTTCATTCTTGCACAATAGCCTTTAATTTAATTTAAAACAATATGTGCTATCGTGATTTTTTAATTAAATCTAATTATTTTTTAAATAAAAAACATTGCATATATGTATTATTTTATTGAATTCTGAGGTCAGTACCTGCATTTGGTTATGTTTTGAATAAAAAAATAAAACTCAGTACAATAGCATTTCGTTTTATTCTCCACTTATAACAATATAACATTGTTTGTATGACATAAAATATATTTTAATTATGTACAAAAGTTGTGWAACTTGCTAACGTTTCTGGTTTTACAACGTGTTTGTTTGCAAAATAAACAGGTTAATCTAATAAATTTGACATATTTAATAAATATATTGTCAAATTAATACAAAAATAAATACTTATAAACAGTGCCTAATTATTAGAACACATAAATAGTCATCTTGTTAAGAATAAGTTCAGTTGAAATATATTTGCGTGTATATCTTTTATATTACGACCTTTAATCGATCGCCGCAGTCCTTGAACGCAGCAGAGTTTCTCGCTGCGCTGTTATATGTACAGTTACGGTTCTGATGCTGATGAGGGAGAGGAAGAGATGCGTGAGGGATGCTGCCGCTGTTGTGCTGTCCTCCTGCTGCCATTTCATCAACTCGGAAATAAAAACAGTCCAGCAGCTTGCACAGTTTGTCCTTCAGTCGCTCAATTGCTAGATTTTTTTTCAATCCTTTTAAATACCCTGGATGTTAATCCTGAACCGGTTAACTTTGCTCATTCTCACAGGGTTATTTCTGTAAACAGGCACTGCTAGTCGTTTTCAAAAGACAACATGGGGCTTGTTTAATGCAGCTGCTGGGATCTCCATTAGGTAAGTGAGGATTTATTTCTTTTTATTCAACTGTGTCCTAAACATCTACAAATGATGCTTTGTGTGGGCAGATAATTGAAATTATAACAGCTAACCATAATTTCCTGTAATAAAGGTTTTAGTAGCTTTAAGGAAAGCTGAGTAACATCAATTATGTGTTATTTGTAGCATTGTATTCAGCTTCTTTAATATTTGGCCTGCTCACTGTGTGTTTATCAGCCACTTTGAAATCCACATGGGGGTTGACTACGCCACTGTTTATTGAGGCAGAGAGGAGTGGCCTCCCCCTCCTTTCCTCCACCCAAATTAGATCAGCCATCTGTGAATCACATGGATGCAGCTAAGATGGTTTGAGCCTCCTTTTGTCTCATCATAATCCAGGAATTATCCTTATGATCGATACAGTCACTGCTGTAAATCTGAATTAACTACAAGTATTTTCATATAGATGGAAGGAGACAAAACTGTTACATTAAGTGTGTGGATCCTGAGACAGGACTTTACTGGTTTTCTTATTACATGTTTCAGAAACCATTCGTTTTYATTTGTGTACAAATTTGCTGGTTGCTCATTTCAGTCTTTGACTTCGGACCTTCTCTGTGACAGATTCTATTCTCATGAGACATGGAGACGATATGGCTTTACCAGTTTCGTTTGATCGTCATCGGAGACTCCACTGTGGGCAAGTCGTGCCTGATCCGGAGGTTCACAGAGGGTCGCTTCGCCCAGGTGTCGGACCCGACCGTCGGTGTGGACTTCTTCTCTCGCCTGGTGGAGATCGAGCCAGGAAAAAGGATCAAACTTCAGATCTGGGACACGGCGGGTCAGGAGAGGTTCAGGTGAGGTACACACAATCGCAATCCTCTCTAAGCATTTCATACACTGAAGGCTAATCCCAAACAGTTGTACTAGCTCATAACTAACAAGGTCACAACAGTCAGATGTCATTATGGAGTTGACCAAACTATAAAGTTTTGAGCTCTGTTGAGATTTTTGCCACTTTAACTGAATAGGGCTCAATATTTTATAGTTAATTTGTGTGGAACGCTCAAAAGGTTTAGGAACCATACAGTAGTGTTCCTGGTGAGTGGGTCTTATCTCTCCCTCAGGTAAGATGAGTCAGCCATCTTGAATTTGCCTTGATGTGGAGAAGTTTTGGCCAACCTGCACTGAAAAAACAAACTTTTGGGTGTAGTAACATTTATTTAATTAATCTTTTAAATTTTACAAAAAAATATCAAAATCTCTAAACTACTAGAATTTACTAAATAAACAATATGCATTATAATATATATCGATATTACTGTACGAAAAAAGTAAATGCTGATATTATTTTACCAGTAATATTTAAGTGCTTTTTCTGGACAGTACATAAACATGAATACACAGCGGGTAAAATAAGTATTGAACACGTCAACATTTATCTCAGTAAATACAGAGGTGCTAATGACATTAAATTTTCACCAGATGTTG